CATCGAGTCCAACCCTCTGCTCAGGCAGGAAACCCTACACCATTTCGGACAAATGGCTGTCCAGTCTCTTCTTAAAAACTTCCAGTGTTGGAGCATTCACCGCTTCTGGAGGCAGGTTGTTCCACTGGTTAACTGTCCTCACTGTCAGGAAGTTTCTCCTTAGTTCTAGGTTGCTTCTCTCCTTGATCAGTTTCCATCCATTGCTTCTTGTCCTGCCTTCAGGCGCTTTGGAGAATAGCTTGACTCCCTCTTCTTTGGGGCAGCCCCTGAGATACTAGAAGACTGCTATCATGTCCCCACTCGTCCTTCTCTTCATTAAACTAGACATCCCCAATTCCAGCAACTGTTCCTTGTATGTTTTAGCCTCCAGTCCCCTGATCATCTTTGTTGCTCTTCTCTGTACTCTTTCCAGAGTCTCAACATCTTTTTTACATCGTGGTGACCAAAACTGGATGCAGTATTCCAAGTGTGGCCTTACCAAGGCCTTGTAAAGTAGTATTAACCCTTCACGTGATCTTGATTCTATCCCTCGTGTTAATGCAGCCCAGCACTGTGTTGGCCTTTTTGGCAGCTGCAACACACGTCTGGCTCGTGTGTTTAAGAACTCCCCATTGCAATCTCCGAGCCACAGTGACGGAAAACGTTATTTGCATCCCTTTGGTGTCGTCCGTGCAGGTCAACTCGCTGCTCCTGAGAGCCAGCAGGAAGAGGATAGCTGTGCTGCTGAAGAGGAAGTGCCCTTGTTAACTCTGGAGGAAGTGGCTCGGATGACCAATACGGCTTACACGAGAATTGCAAGTAAGGGACAAGACCTCTACGTCCACCAGGCCAGAGCATCTGCTTCTGGATTGTTTCTGGGTTGCCTCAAACCAGGCGATAAGGCGTAGCATCTCCACGAGGTTGAGTTGTGATTAAGGCTATTAATCGCCAACGCTCCCTCTGACTGTTGTGGCTCCGTCTTGTGAGCCCCTCTTATCGGAGGAAGAAGGCTCCGAACATGAAGGAGAGGAGATGGCCAGGCCTCCCTCTCCAGGACCCTCCTCTCTGGCAAGGCCTCAGGTGTCTCCCGACGGAGAAGAGATTGACCAGGAGCCAGGTGGTTCTGAGATTGGCCAGGAGCCAGGAGTTTCTGAGATTGGCCAGGAGCCAGGTGTTTCGGATAGTGAGGAAGAAAAGTTGTGGCTGGATCCACGCCAGCGTAGGAGCGACAAGCGTGCGCAGCAGAAAAGGAGACATGCCAGAGATTAAGCTGAGTCACTGGACCACACCCCACAGGCTATAAAAGGGTGGTGGTGGCCATTTGGACCTCTGTGACGGACAAAAGCTGAATCTCTGGCGAAGTAGTTTGCTGTGGCTTTAAACTGTGTGCATTGTTTTTTGTTTCTGTGTGTTTGGAGTAAAAGGTCTTGGCAGGCAGCTATGGAGCTGCTGCCAAGTTTCTTATCTGTGAAGTGGTGTCTGGAGAAGTCTTTAACCCTCGGCTGGCTGTTTGGGTGTGTGGGTCGGAACGGGGACAGAACACTGACGAGAATTTCTACCTCAATTCTCCTTTCTCAGCGAAGGGTGAGAACGGCCAAGCAACCCTGGAGCCGTCTGCTCAGGAAGAAAGTTACCTGCAAATAGGAAGGCCTGCCGCCGAAACAGTCACTCCAGCTGCCCCGATAGAGCCTTTCTACAAATTGGGGCCAGATAAGAAAGTGAGAGGTAAGACTCGGGCCGCGAGGAAAACAAATCCTTAGAGGAGTGGAGGAAGGCTAAAAAACATAAAGAACAGTTGCAGGAATGGGGTATGTCCAGTTTAAGGAAGAGAAGGACGAGGGGGGACAGGAGAGCAGGGTTCCTGACAGTGAGGACAATCAACCAGTGGAACAGCTTGCCCCCAGAAATCGTGGGCGCTCCATCACTGGAGATTTTGAAGAAGAGGCTAGCCCAGGGGTAGTCAACCTTGGCTCTTTTATGACTCGTGGACTTCAACTCCCAGAATTCCTGAGCCAGCTAAGCTGGCTCAGGAATTCTGGGAATTGAAGTCCACGAGTCATAAAAGAGCCAAGGTTGACCACCCCTGAGCTAGACAATCACCTGTCTGAGACGGTATAGGTTCTCCTGCTTGAGCAGGGGGCTGGACTAGAAGACCTCCAAGGTCCCTTCCAGCTCCATTCTCTATTCTATTCTAAAGGAGAGAAGCGGCCTGGAATTAAGGAGAAACTTCCTGACAGTTAGAACAATTAATCAGTGGAACCACCTGCCTCCAGAAGCGGTGAATGCTCCAACACTGGAAGTTTTTAAGAAGAGACTGGACAGCCATTTGTCTGGAATGGCATAGGGTAGTGGTGGCGAACCTATGGCACACATGCCAGAGGTGGCACTCAGAGCCCTCTCTGTGGGCACGCGCGCCATGCCCCGGAGATGGCAACCGGCCCTCTTCAACCAGCCGCCCACTAACTCGCCGAGGTCCCACGTGGCCGGATGTATCCCAGCATGGCTAGTTTCCCTCCCCCCTTCCCATCCCTCCTGGCCTCGCATGCTCTCCTTTTCCTGGGCACGACCCACTGCATCGCCTCCTCACCTATCAGCCGGCCGGCCAGCTCAGAGGCGGCTTCTCTGAACTGCTGGCGGTGGGCTGCAGAGCCCCAGAGTGCGCCGGTCGAGGGGCCGATAGGCTGTGGCTGCTGACGGACACTGTCGGCCCCCATGCGCTCGCTGGCTTCTGTCTGCGGGGGCCGACGGTGTCAGGCAGCAGCCGCCCCGGCCCCTGCCTCGCCTTGCCCTGCGACAATGGCACCCCCGCCCTGCCTCGCCTCACCCCGCAGGACGAGCCTCCTGCCCACCGCCCCATCTGCCAGAGACCCCCTGGATCTCCCCCAACCCTCACAGATGTCCCTCTCCACGAGCAACATCAAGGTGAGCACACCTACCTTGGCCACACCCACCCAGTCTACCATGACCACCACAGTCACGACCACCCAGTGGGCCACGCCCACCCGGCACCTGGCGATTAAATAAGTGGGTTTTGGGTTGCAGTTTGGGCACTCGGTCTCTAAAAGGTTCGCCATCACTGGCATAGGGCTTCCTGCCTGAGCAGGGCATTGGACTAGAAGACCTCTAAGGTCCCTTCCAACTCTGTTATTCTATTATTATTCTGTTGTTGTTATTCTGAGAAACCTAGAAGGAATGTGTGCTAACTGAGGCAGCTTTGAAGTGTCCTGCCCTCCTAAACCTCCAGTTCTCCAGAATCTGGAATCTTTTCTTCAGGGTCCATATCCTTAGAGCTGAAATGGCAACGGGGTAAGTGGAAGATATCTTCGGTCAGCTCTTCCTGCTCAGTCCTCCCCGAGGACGGGCGTTCCTAACTGTGGTTGTCCACTGTCTTGTCCAGATATGCCTTCTGAAGTCTTCCAAGCATTGGCTGAGCTGGGTTATACTTCCTTCCGGCCAGGACAGGAAACGGCAGTCATGAGAATACTCTCAGGTAAGGCGTAAAGAAACAAACTTTTAACTTACTTGGATCTTGGCAGTTGTGGGCAGATGTTTCTGGTATGTCTAGGCCAGGGGTAGGCAACCTTGGCTCTTTTATGACTCGTGGACTTCAACTCCCAGAATTCCTGAGCCAGCATGGCTGGCTCAGGAATTCTGGGAGTTGAAGTCCACGAGTCATAAAAGAGCCAAGGTTGCCTACCCCTGGTCTAGTTTAATGAAGAGAAGGATGAGGGGGGACATGATAGCAGTCTTCCAGTATCTCAGGGGCTGCCCCAAAGAAGAGGGAGTCAAGCTATTCTCCAAAGCGCCTGAAGGCAGGACAAGAAGCAACGGGTGGAAACTAATCAAGGAGAGAAGCAACCTGGAACTAAGGAGAAACTTCCTGACAGTCAGAACAATTCATCAGTGGAACTACCTGCCTCCAGAAGCGGTGAATGCTCCAACACTGGAAGTTTTTAAGAAGAGACTGGACAGCCATTTGTCCGAAATGGTATATTGTCTGAGCAGGGGGTTGGAGTAGATGATCTCCAAGGTCCCTTCCAACTTTATTATGTCCTAGCCTCCTGACAGAACATTATAACATTGATATAAAAGGTATCTCCCTTTTTTCTTGGCATGCTTGTGCCACTGCACATGGGACATTAGGTCTGCCCCATGGGGAGGTCTTCATCTTGCCTGAAGCTTCCTCCTGTCTGTTGAGCACACTCAATGGGGCCTAGAGAAAATGCACGTTTTGCGTCATGAAGCGTGATTTCATGTTGCAAAATGAAGGGAAGGAGAAATATAACGTGGTGTGGCACCTCCTCTGTTTTTCTGAGCAAGACATGGCCCCGTTCTCCAATCCTCCATGCAGACATCAGGTGAAATGTGTGTTTTCTGCTATGTCTGCTTTAATACATGAGGGGGCAGTGTGCATCGTAGCTTGCTTGCTTCCTTCCTTCCTTCCTTCCTTCCTTCCTTCCTTCCTTCCTTCCTTCCTTCCTTCCTACCTACCTACCTACCTACCTACCTACCTAATAATAATAATAATAAAGTTGAAAGGGACCTTGGAGGTCATCTAGTCCAACCCCCTGCTCAGGCAGGAAACCCTATACTATTTCGGACAAATGACTGTCCTGTCTCTTCTTATAAAACTTCCAGTGTTGGAGCATTCACCACTTCTGGAGGCAGGTTGTTCCACTGGTTCTCACTGTCAGGAAGTTTTCTCCTTAGTTCTAGGTTGCTTTCTCCTTAGTTCTAAGTTGCTTCTCTCCTTGATTAGTTTCCATCCCTTTCTTCTTGTCCTTCCTTCCTTCCTTCCTTCCTTCCTTCCTTCCTTCCTTCCTTCCTTCCTTCCTTCCTTCCTTCCTTCCTTCCTTCCCTCCCTCCCTCCCTCCCTCCCTCCCTCCCTCCCTCCCTCCCTCCTTCCTTCCTTCCTTCCTTCCTTCCTTCCTTCCTTCCTTCCTTCCTTCCTTCTCTCTATAGCCACCCATCTCAATCAATGACTAGGTGGCTTATAATTCCAAAACTAAAAACAATTAAAACAAAAAAGCAATTTATAAACAGAAAAAACATCCAAAATAAATATACAGAGCAGCTGAAATATGTAGCCAGTAAGCAATAAAGCCCGGAAACGGGGCTCTTAACACATTCATGGTCCCCAGGCTTGGGGACACAGCCAGGTTTTTAAGGCCAACAGGATTGGGGCCATTCTGATCTCCGAGGGGAGGATATTCCACAGAGCAGGTGCCACTGCAGAAATAGCACCTCTTCTAGTCCCTGCCAGCCACCAATCTTTGGCTGATGGGATCCGCAGCTTGCCCGATCTGCTAGAATGAATTGGATGGACGGAGACTCTTGGAAAATTCTTTAGATTAGAATTTCTTTGGGCAGTTCCCTACCAGTCCCATTTGAACTGACAGGTGTCTTGAAGCTGTCAGAAAAGGACACCTAGCTCTATTTTTTTGTTGCCCACTCTCAAAGTGAAACACATACATGACACACACCTAAACATACTATATATAACATATGTATAGACCCACACCCCTACATATACATAACAAATATTAAAACACTGTCCATCTTGAATATGTAACGGAAGGAGGAAGCTTGAGAGTTCGCAAGGTTAATGCTGTATGGAATGAAACTCTGGCTGAATCTGGATGTTCTATGGATACCATGAAGCCCCCTCCTTCCAGAAGGGAACAAGGAAAACAGGTTGCGAAGAGGGTGTGTAGTGTCCCAAATAATCTTACAGACCCTGCTCAAGCAGAGCTTCTGTGCGATGTCCTGGATGGGAGGGAGGGAACTGCCAATGATCTTTTCTGCCGTCCTCACCACTCTCTGCACTGCCTTCCTGTCTGAAGCAGGGATGCTTCCAAACCAGACTGTGATGCTGTAGGACAGGATGCTCTCGATCGTCCCCCTGTAGAAAGTGGTCAGGACAGGGAAAGGAAGATGTGCTTTTCTCATGCGACGCAGAAAATGCAGGTGCTGCTGTGCCCGCTTCACCAGTGTCTCGCTGTTGAGCGACCAAGCCAGCCTACTCGTTAGCTGCACACCCAGGAATTTGATGCTGGTAACCATCTCCACAGGTGAATCATTAATGCACAGAGACGATGTAAAAAAGATGTTGAGACTCTGGAAAGAGTGCAGAGAAGAGCAACAGAGATGATCAGGGGACTGGAGGCTAAAGCATATAAGGAACGGTTGCTGGAATTGGGCATGTCTAGTTTAATGAAGAGAAGGACGAGGGGGGACAGGATAGCAGTGCTCCAGTATATCAGGAGCTGCCCTAAAGAAGAGGGAGTCAAGCTCTTCTCCAAAGCGCCTGAAGGCAGGAGAAGAAGCAACGGGTGGAAACTAATCAAGGAGAGAAGCAATCTAGAACTAAGGAGAAACTTCCTGACAGTGAGAACAATTAACCAGTGGAACAGCTTGCCACCAGAAGTGGTGAATGCTCCAACACTGGAAGCTTTTAAGGAGAGACTGGACAGCCATTTGTCCGAAATGGTATAGGGCAGTGGTTCTCAACCTTTTTAATTCTGCGACCCCAACCGGTCGTAAGTCGAGGACTAAACCAGTCGTAAGTCGAGGACTAAACCGGTCGTAAGTCGAGGACTACCCAACT